TAGCCAAACTACTAGTCAAACCTTGAGATTTAATCAAATAATAGTCTAATCCCTTGACTAAGCAAACGATTATCAAATACCCCCTTGCTGTCCTAAAACGTTAGTTAAGGTATGATGTCAGCAACAAAACTATTATGAGAGGACAAAAATGCCCTTATAGATCCATGTGTCATCACTAATTTCTTTGACTTTTTCCTGAAGTAATAATAACATTTTTTCTTCTCTTTGTTTCCTGAAATATACTAAAAGAAATTGACTGCCCAAAAACCACAAAAGAAAAAGAAAAGAGTTGCAAATTTTTATGAAAAGTCAATTTCACTAGTTGTTAACTCATAGGAAAAAAAAGAACAAAGAGAAATTAAATGAAAATTATTAAAAAACATAACAATAATAAAATATTATTATTAAATGAAAAGAGGAGAAATTAAATGAAAATTATGAAAAAAAAAGAAAAAGAGAGTATACCAAAATCAAGAAAAAAATGAAAGTCCTTTCGAGTTGAGAGCTTCACCTTGTAGCGGGTTTAGATTTAAATAGCCTTTTAATTTAATGGTTAGAGTTGAAACTAGAATTGTCAATTGGGATAACATATAATTTGCCAGCAACCTTCGTTCAAAAAACTTCTTCAAAACCAATAAGTATGTACTAGGTTTAATTGGAATAATATCATGTGCTAGCTTTCAAGCACAAAAGGCACATAATTGCATGGACGATTTGTTACTTTTCTACTCCTATTGGTACAAATCAATAGTTGCTATATGCCTCATGCCAATTTTCTACATGGTAAATATGAGGAATTTACGAATATAAAGTGAAATGGATTCTTTTTGTTATTAGAGATCTATAAATTTAAAATGAAATGGGTTTCGTCTCTTGAATAGAGTGATCTTGATGTTTTCTTGTTGACTTGTTGGCCGTTTGTGTTCTATTTGTCATGAACATAATTTTCATACAAAATTTGCAGAATGTTGTTTGAGCGGTGATGAGAGTGTGAGATGCAGCTGTTTGGTTTTTATTCTATTTATCATGAATAAATTTTTCATAAAAATTTTATTTAATTAGGTTTGAGTAGTGATTAGAATGCAAGATAAAGCTATTTAGACTTCTTTGGTGGTTTTGTGGTCACTTTGGGCCAAAATTGATGATCAAATCATAACTCACACAAAATTTTAAGTCCCAGCTGCAAATTTGACAAAGATCCACCATTGAATGTAAGTAGCTGGCAGCCTTCGACTGCAGTTGCCATATTCAAGCTTTTAGAAAGTTAGAGATGAAGAAGATTAAAATAAAAGTAAGGAATTATGATTTTCTTAGAGTATAAAATTATATCTGGGTGTTTGAAAATTCGTTCCTACTGTAAAATACAATACAGGCACTAGTCCAGCTAATAATGCTTATGGTTATCTTGTCTTTTCACCAATTCCGTCTACGATACTCAATGGAAGTTACTAATAGGGGGGCATTTGTTATTTGACCAAACTTCAAGGATCATTTGGTAGTTTGGCCAAACCTTAAGAGAGGTAAATATAATTGACCCTATTTACATTTGTTTTTACGATCAAAATGCCAAAAGAACCCATAAATGTGCACAAGTAAATATAATCATACGAAATTTTAAACAAAATTATTCGAAAATTTTAGTCACTTTAATTGTGGAAGTATGAGAAGGAAGTAAATGATGCTAATTTTTATTTAAAATGAAGCTAATTTGAGAGTAAATTTGCCATTTTTTCCTTTTTTTTTATGTTTTAGATTCGCACAATTAATTTTGACCCTAGATACCAGAGCAAATTTGTTTTTTGTTTTTCAAGCTTTAATTCAAAACACTTGTTTGACTTTTTCACGTGATGCCAAGGCTTTGATCATTTTCATAAAAATTGACAGGGTGTCGAAGCCTGTACAATAATAAAATTAAACCTAATTGCCAGTTAAAATGACCAAAACCCAATTCCAAGTACTGGAGCAGGGACTCTAGGTGTGCAATAGGTTACTTGATTCACCCTTTTCCCGAAGAGTTTACTTGGTCTGATATACCCGAATGGAATGGTTATTTCTTTTCTCAAATAATTATGAATTTGTAGACAAGGCAAGTAGGGTCGTATCCACAGGGATTGGGTATATTTGTTTCTTAAGAAATCCAAAATAACACAGTGGGGTGATTTTGTAGGAACGACGACAATCAAATAAATTCAAATAAGAAAATAAAATTAAATAACTAACTAGAAATTAAACCACGATTCACTGAACTTAGAATAACAATAATTAAAGGTCTAAATCAATTAAAACAAGGAAACAATTAAAAATAAAATAAAGTAGGCAACTAAAAGTCAAATGGCAATTCACTAAAATTAAGGTAATATTAATTAAAAGTCTAGCCAAGAAATAACTTCAACAATGGTTCACCTAATTGATCATCGAAGCAAGGACAATTCCAATTATTCATCAATAAATAGGTTATAACTACCAAACAAGCGATGGCAGTCAACCCCTCCTTGCTGTGTCGGTGATTAAGGTACGCCCGTTAATCACTACTCTAATTAGGGAATATTCTTAGGTACGCCCGTAAGATTTAATTCCCCAATTGTCTTACGTATTAGAGGAATCTTATTCTAACCAAATAATATACTACCAGGGTTATTTCAGATTAGCCCGTGTATCCCCCTGACACGAATCTAATCGTGCCAGTTGTCACTGTTTCAGGACAATTAAACAATTACGGATTTAATGCCCTAATTGACAATAGATTACCAAATCAATTAATTACCGGATCCAAGACAATCAATTAATTAAATAACCATAAGCATAGTAATTAAGGAATATGCGAATACCAATAAATAAGAGAAAAAAAATTAAATCGATCTTACAATTTTTAGGCGAACCAGAGCCTTCGTAGCTTCTTGACTAGAGTGAAGAGATTAGTTCATGTTTAATGCGAGGAACCCATGCAAAATTGAAAAGAGAGCCGCGGCCATCAATTGAGAAAATGCCCAAGTTCAATTCGGTCAAAGGAATAAAGCACAACTAAGTTGCAGAGGATGATTTAATGTCCTCGCTTGTCTGCTCATACGAAGGAAGAAGAAAAAGAACAACTAAAAGCTACAAAAGGGGAGGTCAAAGGCTGATGCCTCCTTTCTCCTCACATACGTGAGAATGACTACTCTAGACTAAGAGAAGTCAAAAGTGAGGCTAGCTAAAGGATGAAAAGCTGAGGAAGCCGGATAGCTCCCTGGCCTCTGCAATCTTTTTGGTTTTTATCCCCTGCTTCCCTCAGATGTGCGGCAGCTCCAATCCCCCAAGGGAGACTTCGGCCCATTTACCCAAAAAGGGCTCGCATTTTGTTGTTCCAAAAATGCCCCCAGGACAAGCTTTATCATCTGGACTCTTTTCCTGCCAAATTGACATCTGTTATTATATTTTCGTTCTATTCCCTGAAATAAATGTAAAATACTAAAAGTGAGTAGAATCCCGCAATTAATTCACATCAAGTCAGGTAATAGGAGAAATTAATAATAAAATAAATGATAAAATTGTAACTTATCAATTTTCATACTTCTCTTTCACATATATCTGCACCATTTACAAATCTCAAGCAGTGGTGCAAACGTTCTACTTGTTCAACGAGTTGACTTTGGTTGCCTCTCATATTACCTCCAAACTTCAGCTACTGCATTTCCATCCAGCCATCGATCTGTGAAAGGTAATATTGACAAAGCAGATTGAGGATGGTCGTTTCTACCCGGATAGTCAGGGGCCTCACCCTGTAAGACTACGGAAAGTGTCACCTTGGCCCTCCATTTAGCGAGATGATCTTGATCCGTTTATCACCTCGGCTAGGCTCTTCATAATGAGCCGAGATGATGCCTAAGTGACTGACAACTGTGGAAAGGTGGGATGTGATTTCTGACACATCTGACCCCTGACGGAAAGCTGTTCTGACACATGCGTCGCCTGACTCTGACACCTGTTCCGGCGCGCCTTTTCGCAGGAGCCCATCAAATCAACTTGATGCGCTGCCCATGTCAAATCTTTAGAGACCCGTGCCAGCAATCCCTCTTTCCTATCCATCCTCTATAAATACTCAGCACTTCTACTGAGAAGAGGGATGACCAATTTTTGGTAAAGCAAGTCATATTGATTTTATCTGCTACTATATTACTTCTCCAATACCGAACTAACTTAAAATTCGGAGTCACACCGGGGGATTCAGCCCCTCTTGTAACCTAAGCAGGTGACCTTGCCGGTGTGACCTTTATAGCCGGGACGCTGCCCACTCTTGGTTCACTCCGGCCGGTAAGAAATCACCTCTTCAATTGGCGCCGTCTGTGGAAAATGTAAGACATTAGAATATGAAACCTACACGTTCTAGAAGCAGGAAAGCTCTCACTATTGGGGCTGAGCAGAGTAATGCAGCTCAGCAGGAAAATATTTTTGAAGGGCGAGAGTCCCCAAGGATTCAGCCCGCAAACGAAGAAGCCATAACCCGTATGGCCGAGTTTGTGACTGAGAACCCTAACATCTTTGAAGAGTTGGGGAGGTACCTTAAGAGACAAGACAAGCAAAAGGCAGAATCCTCTAAAAGGAAGTCAGATGAATCTCCTGAACGATCATCTGAAGAGGAGTCTGATGGGAGGCGCCTAAACCGGAGCGCTTCAAAACGGGCATTCTCCAAGGCCACCTCTAAGGTAGCATCCCTGACCAAGGCATATTCCGGAGGCCTTTTAGGACGACGACCTGAGGAGGAATCTCGGCCCTTGGGAAGACCCGGGGTGGATTACATGAGAGCTCCACCTTTTACTGATGATATTAACGAGGAAAGGCTTCCCCCCAACTTCAAACTCCCCTCGATACAATCTTACGACGGCTGAGGTGATCCTGAAGATCACATCCATACTTTCATCTCGGCCTTCCGCCTATATTGTATCCCTGACCCCGTCATATGCCGGGTTTTCCCAGTGTTCTTTCAGGAGACAGCTCGAAAATGGTTTTGGGGTTTAGAACCTATGAGCATTTTGATCCTGGGGGAATTAGTGGAGAGATTTTTCAACCGATTTGTCTCCTCTCGGCCTACGACCAGAATCTCGGCTTATCTGCTGAATATGCAACAGAACCCTGGAGAGTCACTTCGGTCGTACGTCCAGAGATTCCATGAGGAAAGCGTGCAGATACCTGACCCTAATGAGCAGGTTACCATCGCTGCTTTTACCCATGGACTCGTTGCCAGGGTATTCAATACGGGGATCCACAAAAAGTATTCCCGCACGCTCCACGAACTGTGGTTGAAGGTCGAGAAAGGCATCCAGGCCGAAGACCTCAACCGCATGAAGAAAGAGGTCCAAGCCACTCGCTCAAGGATTGATCCACGAAGGGGAAAAGATGCTGGCCGAACTGAAGTCGGCACAGGAAGCGGCTTCCAAAATCCTAGCCGAAATCGCCGCAACGTGTTTGACAGGATATCTAAGAGGAAATCATCTATCCCCGAGTCTAAGTTGACTCCTTTGAATACCACCCGATCCCGGGTATTATCCGTAATGGAACAGAACAATCTCGAGAAGGCACCTCTCAAGATGCTCGGTAGCAGAGATAAGAGGAACTCGAACCTCTACTGCCTGTATCACCGAGATATCGGGCATGAGACTGAGAACTGCAATACCTCGAAAGGGAGATTGAGAGACTCATCAGTCAAGGACACTTAAAGCAATTCATCCGCCAAGGGGGAGGTCATCAGCGTAATGAGCCTCGACGTGACGGACGAGGTTACCAACGTCGAGGTGAAATGCGGACGTCGAGAAGCAGCTGCAGACCTCCTGAGGATCGTAGGGAGACAAAAAGGCCTCCCCGAGACGGATCTTCAGGTCATGATATAGGGTATGGACCGAACATAGCCGGGGTCATCAACATCATCGCTGGGGGTCCGACGAGAGGGGATAGTCAGAACTCTCGGAAGAGAACCTACAGGCAGGCTAACCCGGATCAGGCTGAGTCAAGCTCCCGCCTGTCCGAAGTGATCTCTTACGGACCTAGCGATCCTGTCCCAACTGCCTCGAGCAGTCATGAAGCCTTGGTGATTGAAGTGCTCACTAACAATTACATTGTTAAGAAGGTCTACATTGACCCAGAGAGTTCGGTGGACGTCATGTACCTCCGCACATTTGAAAGCCTTAAGTTGACCAGGGAACACATGACCCCGGTAAGGATCCCTCTGATAGGGTTCGGGGGACACATCGTGCATCCCGAAGGGATGGTCACTTTGACGGTGACTGTAGGGCGTCACCCCCGTTGCCGAACCATCCCTGTCAATTTCGTGGTTTTGCTAAGGCCGACTCTCCGTACAACTTGTTCCTGGGTCGACCCACGCTTAACGCTTTGCGAGCGGTATACTCTACATATCACCTGAACTTTAAGTTTCCCACCCCCGCGGGTGTTGTCGAGGTAAGCAGCGATGTCTGCGCTGCCAGAGAGTGCTACCTCGCCACTTTGCAGGCAGCCTCCACATCGACCTCTGGTAGAAGGTCCGAAAAGAGGTCAGACATCCTTTCGATAGATTGCCTCGATCATTAGCAAACTGAAAAGCTCCCGAGGCTGGAGTCTGGGGATGAGGTGGAGGAGATCTCCTTGGATCCCACAAAGCCAAATCAGACGGTCCGCATCGGCATCCGTCTACCTGGCCTAATCAAGAAAGGTATGGTGGACCTCCTTAGAGAGTACCGGGACGTTTTCGCGTAGGCCGTAGATGAGATCTTGGGAGTCCCGCATCACCTCATGATACACGAGCTGAACGTTGACCCCCAAACACGCCCAGTCAAACAGAAAAGAAGGCATCTCGACCCTGAGAGCAGCCGAGCTGTAGGTGAAGAGGTGAACAAACTCCTGCCTGCAAAGATAATCCGGGAGGTTCAATATCCGACCTGACTGTCCAACCCAGTCATGGTCAAGAAAGACACGGGGGCTTGGAGGATGTGCGTCGACTTTACCGACCTCAATAAAGCCTACCCCAAGGACTGCTACCCATTGCCTAAAGTCGATATCTTGGTGGACTCGGCAATGGGATATGAGATCCTCTGTTTCCTTGATGCCTTCAAGGGATATCACCAGATCGGAATGAGTCAAGAAGATCAGGAGAAGACGGCCTTCTATACTGACCAAGGCACATATTACTACACCACCATACCTTTCGGACTAAAAAATGTCGGAGCCACATATCAACGCCTGGTCAACCAAGCTTTCAAATCCCAGATTGACCGAAACGTCGAAGCCTATGTGGATGATATCCTTCTCAAAAGCCAGACGACCTCCACCTTTCTTTCTGACCTGAAAGAGGTCCTTGAGGTCCTCCGGAAGACGCGAAAGATGTTAAACCCCAAGAAATGTGTTTTTGGGATCACCTCGGAGAAATTCTTGGGTTACCTAGTCTCGAGGCGAAGCATAGAAGGGAATCCAGATAAAGTGAAAGCGATCCAGGAAATGTCTCCACCTCGGTGCATCCGTGAGGTGCAAAGGCTCACAGGACGGTTGGCGGCCCTGAACCGGTTCCTGTCCCAATCAGCTTCCAAGGCGTTGTCTTTTTTCAAGGTTCTAAAGAAGGCTGACAGCTTCTTCTGGACTGAGGAATGTCAACAGGCTTTTGAGCAATTGAAGGAGTACCTTCACCACCTCCCAACACTCACCTCGCCTCGGCCAGGGGACAAGTTGTTTTTGTACCTGTCTGCCGCGGTCGAAGCCGTAAGCGCCGTGCTGATAAGAGAGGAATGTGTGCAAATTCAAGTTTATTATGTCAGTCGAGTCCTCCGGGGTCCGGAAACCAGATACACTCAGGCAGAGAAGCTCGTGCTGGCCTTAGTCCACGCAGCCCGCAGGCTTAAGCCCTACTTCCTAGCTCACCACATCTGCCTGAGGACTGACCAACCCCTCAGGCAAGTTTTATCATGGTCGAAGGCTTCCGAACGCCTTACTAAATGGACTATCGAACAGGGGGAGTACGACCTGTCTTACGAATCTCGTACAACAATCAAGGTTCAGGCTCTCGCGGACTTCCTTGCCGAACTCATTTTTGATGAGGCGAAGGAGACCACCCCGGCTACCGCCGAGCCTCAACGGTGGATATTGCATGTGGACGGCTTGTCTAATAGTGAGGGTAGTGGGGCAGACTTGCTACTCGAAGACCCCCAGGGGGCGGTGTGTTCATACGCCTTAAGGTTTGATTTCGCCGCTTCAAACAATGAGGCTGAATATGAAGCAGTCATTGCCGACTTGCAACTAGCTCGTAAGCTCGGGGCCGCGCACATATTGGTCTACAGTGACTCCCAACTCGTCGTGTGCCAAATACTAGGCGAATATGAGGCCAGGGAAGAGGTGATGCATCGCTACCTCTCCGAGGTCCTCCAATTGGTGGCACGTTTCGAGTCTTTTGAAATTCAAAAAATACCGCGGTCACAGAACAGGAGGGCTGATGCCCTCTCCCGACTCGCTTCTATCTCTTTTTCTGATTTGAACAAGACGGTTCTCGTAAAAGTTTTAGTCGAGTCAGGGTACGAAGGAGAGGTCTTGTACCCCATCTACCCTGGGGACACTTGATGGGGCCTTTGATCCGATTTCTCAGTCAGGGAGAGCTTCCCGAGGACCGAGTTGAGTCAAGAAAGCTTCAACGTAAAGCAATTCGGTACACCCTCCAACAAAATCTCTTATACAAAAGGTCGTACCTCAATCCGTGGCTGCGGTGTATCACGCCAGAAAAAGGCGAGAGAATCCTCCAAGACATACACGAGGGACTTTGTGGTGCTCACGTCGGTTACAGGATGCTCATTAAAAAAGCTCTGTTACTTGGGTATTTCTGGCCCACCAAGAGGGTAGATGCCCAAGTCATGGTCCTTAGCTGTCCTTCTTGTCAGCACCACGCCCCTGAACACCACCAGCTGACTAATCTTATGATTCCCATCACCTCGCCGTGGCCGTTCGAGCAATGGAAAACTGACATAATCGGCCCATTCCCTAGAGCCCCAGGCAACTATGCCTACGTGGTGGTGGCGGTAGATTACTTCACCAAATGGGTCGAGGCAGAGCATCTGAGAAGTATCACTAGAACAGCGGTTCAAAAATTCTTCTGGAAGAGCGTGGTTTGTCGCTTCGACCTACCCCGGGTGGTCATCTCAGATAACAGCAGACAGTTCGTGGATAATTCTTTTAAAGCATGGTGCGAAAACCTTAGAATCGAACAGCATTTCACCTCGATTGGACACCCCCAGGCCAATGGACAGGCCGAAAATTTCAACCGCACTCTCCTTCATGGGCTCAAGACCAGGCTTCACCGGGCTGGATTATCCTGGAAGGAAGAGTTTCCCAATGTGTTGTGGTCCTACCAGACCACCCCGAGGTCGGCAACCCAAGAGATCCCGTTCTCTTTAACGTATGGTTCCGAAGCTGTCGTCCCAACGGAATTCATTACCCCGAGTCCACGAATGGCGGCATATATCGCCGAAGTCAACGAAAAAGAACGGCAAGTTGACCTCGACCTCGCCGAGGAGAAACGTGATATGGTTGCAGCCAAAGTCGCTCTTTATAAGAATATCCAAACTGGCTACTATAACGCTCGAGTCAGACACTTGCGGTTCAATCCGAAAGACCTTGTGTTCCGGAAGAATTCGATCAGTCGAGCTGAACCTCAGGGTAAACTGAACCCCAAATGAGAAGGACCGTACCGTATGGTCGAATCCAGCCAAAATGGATATTGTAAACTGGCATACCGAGATGGATCTCGGGTGCCTCGAACTTGGCATGTTGAAAATCTCAAATTGTATTACCCTTGAGAGGTACGTGCTTTTAATTTTAAGTTCTCTGGGTTATTTCTCACTTATCTTCATTTTATTACAAATGAAAAATAAGGAGACAAAGCAATAGTAAAAGGAGGAAAAATCGAGCTCAATTAAAAGAAATGCAAGAATATGAAGTCAGTTGAATAAAAGTGCAAAAAGTAGAAGGCCAAGGTCCGAAGTGCTCCTAAGCGTCCATGACCTCGGCCCTCAAGCACAAAAAAGGAATGCTCATAAGCATTCCCTGCCCCGGAGCCTTGCTCCCTCATAGTTTCTCCCCCAGCCTCGGCGTCTTGCCGGCCCTCGGCCTCCCCGCCGGCCTGGTTTCCTTCAAGGTCATCGCCATCGAGGTCAAACTCTTGGAGCCACTTGTTGAAGTCGGTCCGGACCTCGGCTAAGTCCCTTTCAGTCTGGATACCCTCAGCCATGCGGTCGCACAGTTCCTTGGCATTTTCGTTGTAGTGTGGAGCGCTCTGAAGGGATTCCAGCTGTTCGGAAGAAAGAAAGGGCGTCGTATCGTTAACAGCCGACGTATAGCCGAACATAAAGCTCGGGCATGTGAGTTCGCCGAGGTCGTGAGTGAAGGACTCCGACTTTCGGAAGGCCTCCAAGGCAGTGACCCCGGTCTTTTCTATTGCCTCCTTGGCCGACTGTTTTTCTTGGACCCTTCTTTCTTTTTCCTCGCATAGGGCTGTTATCAGGGAGTTTTTTGTGACTTCGGCCTACTTCCTTGCCGCCTCGACTCTGTCTCTTTCCAGCTCGGCTGCCCTCAACTTTTCCTCCAAACCGGCAATCTTCTTCTGGAGCTCGGCAGGTGGTTCATAGGTTTCCATGAAGTGCCCGTACCGTTGAAGCATCTCAGCAAAGAAAGCCGTGGTGGAGGCTCAGGAGACCGAGGCGCTTTGCATCAGCTCAGCGGGAGGGAGCTCCCCGGCGTAGGTGCTATCCCGCGGCAACACCGAATGCACCAGAAGCTCATGAGCGACCAGGGGGTTCTTGCAGCGGTCATTGACGTTAACCTCCCACTCCGGACACCAATGTGCTTCGGGGTGCCTCTTATCCTCCCCGACTTCTTTCGAAGGCACATGATGAAGGTTGAACAGTGAAGACCCCGTGACGAGGTTATCCGAGAATACGGTCATACCTTGACCTCGAGGTGGAGAGACTATTGTGACCCCACGGAAAGGAACCCCCACCGGGATGGTTGAGGCTCTGGACCTCACAGGCGTGGCCGAGGTGCATGAATCTTCGCCTACAATCACCACCGGAGGCTCGCGGTCAGTCGTCGCCGCGGTGGTCTTCTTAGCCGGTCTAGTGGAGGGCTCAGCAGCATCCTTGCGCTTCTTGGGTGGCCTCTTCACCACCTTGACGTCTCCCAAGGTTATCAAGTCAGAAACCCTCACCACTGCAAAGTATGAAGAAGAGTTAGTTAAAATTCAAGAAAGATAAACAAAAAAGGGAAATGAAAAAGTACAAGGTTTTTGAAACTTAGAAGAGAAGAAAACGGGATGGTTCGAGCTGATCAAGGCTTGGCTGATCCCGCCTTCCACGAACACCACTTCGAAAAAATTCCAACAATTAAGCCTGAAACCCGACCCCATTAGCTTCTTAAAGTTGCGTTCTTCCAGTTTGTCCGCGAATGTTTCTTTAACCGAGGTGGGAGGTCTCCACCAGAACCCCTAGGGGAAGTCCTCGGGCGGGACAAAGATGAAGTTCCTTTTCCATTCCTTTATCGAGGTCGGGGCGTCTTCCACCAATTTCGGAACTTTATTTCCGAAATAGAACCAACCCTTCTCGCTCCCGCTGTTCTTTAGCAAGTAACAATGGCAGAAGAGGTTGACAGTGGGCTCTATCTCTTACTGTCGGCAGAGTAACTGAAAGCCGATGAGGACGCGATTGCATTAGGGGTGAGCTAAGTGATTCTCACCCCCCAATACCTCAAGCAGTCCCGGAGAAACCTTATTGTTGGCACTCTGAACCCAGCCTCCAGTTGATCCACGTAAATGGCCACCCTACCCTTCGGAGGCAGTGCGGCAGACTGGTGTGATTGGGGCAGATAAATACTGTAGTCCCTTCTCCATGGGTACTTGCGGACCACCTCGGCTACTGAGGCTTGTCCCATACTACTACTGAAGGTCGGCATCTGGCCGTAGTTAAGCATTGACAAGTTCGGAGGAAAGGATGGCTCTTGTACGCCCTCGTCCCTAGGGACCTCATTCCCGAGGTCATCATTGTACAGAATCTCGGTTTCGACCTCGATCTCCTCATTTTGCCCTTCAAATGTCCCAGCTCAGGGAGACGCTTCAGCACTTCCTTCCCCGACATCGGACGCAGTTCTCTCCTCGGAGGGGTCGGGCCTCTCTGCCTCGGTGAAGTCGGGTCTCACTGTCTCCTTGTGTGTGCGAGCTGTTCTAACCATTAGTACAGGAAGAAAGAAGGGAACTTACTCAGAAGATGCGGTTTAGGGGAATTGCCGAAGTGAAAAGACACAAGAACAAGGCTCTGGAGTGATTCAAGATTTCTGGTAAAGAGTGAAACGGTGAAAAGAAACCCCTATTTATAGGCCAGCAGGGTGAGACCGAAAGGGCGGCACCTTTGGGGTTCCCTAGAGTGGCCTCTCTCCCCTCATTAATGAGAATACTGTTCATTTGACAGTCAATCTCATGGATCCGACATTAAAGCTGACAGCCGTCGTTTCACCTCTCTCCCAGTCCCGTCCACACAGCTATGACGTGTCCTTGCTGTGTCCCATGTGCTACATGCTCGTTAGCCTCGGGAAGTAACGACCTCGGGAAACCGCGATCTCGCCCTTCTCGAATCTTGGGGGATTTAGTGAGAATTGTCGTTTCTGCCCGGATAGTCCGGGGCCTCACCCTGTAAGACTACGGAAAGTGTCACCTCAGCTCTCCATTTAGCGAGGTGATCTTGATCCGTTTATCACCTCGGCTAGGATCTTCATAATGAGCCGAGGTGATGTCTAAGTGACTGACAACTGTGGAAAGGTGGGATGTGACTTTTGACACATCTGACTCCTGACAGAAAGCTGTTCTGACACATGCGCTGCCTGACTCTGACACCTGTTCTGGCGCGCCTTTTCACAGGAGCCCATCAAATCAACTTGATGCGCTGCCCATGTCAAATCTTTAGGGACCCGTGCTAGCAATCCCTCTTTCCTGTCCATCCTCTATAAATACTCAGCACTTCTACCGAGAAGGGGGATGACCAATTTCTGGTAAAGCAAGTCATATTGATTTTATCTGCTACTATATTACTTCTCTAATACCGAACTAACTTAAGATTCGGAGTTACACCGGGGGATTCAGCCCCTCTTGTAACCTAAGCAGGTGACCTTGCCGGTGTGACCTTTATAGCGGGGACGCTGCCCACTCTTGGTTCACTCCGGCCGGTAAGAAATCACCTCTTCACAGATCAAAATCAAATTTGTGTTTTTATGATTTCCTTTCATGACATATTACCTAAATGATGCATGCTTTGACATGGCAGTTTGGAGCTAATAGCAAGAAAGACCATACAATTGTTTCTGTAACTGCGTAAAGACATCCTGAAAGGCTGAGTTCATCATTCGGTAAAGCATTTTTCCTTACAAAAGGTATGAACCTTTTTGTTATTAGTTTACATCATTGTGGTTTAATGCCAAGACTCCTCCTAGTTTCGGAATAGTCTCTTTTTCTTTTGTTTTGTTAACCATTTGACCCACTCCACACCCTTCTCACCCTTCTCACCATTAACTGTTAGGATTAACCTGACAGTGAAAAAGACCATACAAGGCCTCCCCTTGGCATAGTTTTGGGATAGTCACTTTGTCTCGTGTCTTAAAGGTTTGAGTGAAACCCCTTTGTTTGGGGTTATTAGATCCTTTGTTACACCTTTTTTTTGTTATTTTCTTCATTTTCTTAGTCTCTGTAGTCTCTGTCAGACGTTTTTGTTCTTAGAAGCTAATTATTAGTACCTAAAAATTTAATTCTTTTGATGAAAATAATAAATTAGCAATCTAACTTTTGACTTTTAAAAAAAAAATTGTTGTGAAATGCTTTATATTTATAAAAAAATAAAATAAAAATAAATATAATTCCTTTTTCCTTTCTATTACATTCTTAATCAGAAAAGCAGGTCCGAAGATGTCAATTTTGGAGCAAGCACATCAATTCTGAATGAGGTAAGCGGGGCTGGAAATATTACTTCAGGAGCAAGCACATCAACTCTGAAGCAGAAAAGCAGGGCTGAAGGTGTCACTTCAATAGCCAGCACATCAATTATGAATGAGAAAAGCAGGGCTAATGATGCCACTTCAGGAGCAAGTGCATCAGCAACGAGCAGGAGCATGAAAAGAAAAGCTGAAGCTGTCACTTTCGGAGCAAGTAAACCAACTGCAAATGAGAACGTTGTCCTGCAAAAGAAAACAGTTGGTGAGATCATTGCTCAGCAGAGAGGATTGGTAAATCAGATTATTTCCGACCAAAGAGAAGCTGTGGACCAGATCTTTGATGCATTGCAGGATGACAGCTGCGCAATCATAGGAATGTACGGGATGGGGGGCATTGGTAAGACGACTCTGGCAAAGGAAATTGGTAGGATGGCTGAAACTAGTGGCCTTTTCAATAAGGTGATTTTTGCTGTTGTTTCGCGAAATATGGATGTGAGAAAAATTCAAGGTCGAATTGGGGATATGTTAGGTCTATATTTCCAGGAGGAGAGTGAAATGGGAAGAGCTGGTCGGCTCTTTGAAAGGCTAACTACCCAGGAAAGAATCCTGCTTATATTGGATGATGTTTGGAATTTTGTTAATTTCAAAGAAATTGGAATTCCTGTTAATTTTAAGGGCAAGGGTTGTAAGATCCTGATTACTACTCGTCAAA